CCGCCACACTCGCAAAAAAAGTGGGTTATCAGATTTAGCCGTCGACACTCAGAATGATATATATATATATATATATATATATATATATATATATATATATATATGTATGTATGTAGCATGCACACATACCCAAATGTATTCAAACGTTCATCCAGGTGGGGAAGGATGGTAACAGAGAGTGAAATATCTATAAAGTTCTAACCATTATTCAAAATTGCAGGCGTACACAGTCCGACCACTATGATGAGTTTCTCTGTACACTGAACAATGATTCCCTTTTTTAGCATAGATCTAATATAATTTTTAGTGTTGGACACTTTCCTTCTGGAGTACGTACACGGTGGATTATTTTTAAGAGCTGCTTATTTATTTTGATTTTTGAAGTGTCTGCCTTAATTTTTATTATTTTTAGTGGCTATAATTATGGGTTATGGGTGCTTTCCCCGTCCAGGTGACATTAGTTAGCTTAAACATGATGCGTGGTCAACGTCTATATCTTTTCTCATTTTCCTAAGGGTATAAAAGTTTCTATTTTCTCATTACATCTGCCTGGCGATTGATTAAAAACATGAAACCTATATTAGTGGTCGGACTGTGTACAGCTGAAAAGTGATTTTTGTTTAGAATAGAACTACTATATTATAAGATGTTGACCACTTTTCTTTTGGTCTGCACACACTTCTTAAGTGCTACTGATATATATATATATATATATATATATATATATATATATATATATATATATATATATATATATATGCAAACATACACACATGAAAGGAAAGTTTAGAAAACGAAATATGATAGCAAAAACATTGGAAAGACTTGACAAGATTGAAATAAGAAGAGGAAAATCAAAAGTAACAGGATAATTACATTTAATGAAGCGGCCTGTTTACTTTGTGGAATCTTTAAACAAACGTAAAGGAACTAGGGATAGATAATTATATATTCATGTCAATATTCGTTCAAAACTCGTTCAAATATTGTCAGCCGTATGAAACCGAAAGTCATAACCTGGAGCTATTTAATGGTCAATAAATGTACCAAACAACAAAATCCACATGACTTGAGGACAGCAGTAACCAGTGAAAATAATTAGTATATGTATCTAGAAAAGAATATATAGGCAGCGGCTATATGTGGGCGATCCACACAGCATCCAAGTAAAAGCAGGGAAATGCCCTGATCACTATGGGATAGAACAATAAAATTTACTGGACATGAGAAACCAATTGGCATGAAAAATTCTTTAAGAAGAAATATTTTAAATTTTTAACAGAAAAAGCAGAATGTACTCGGTCATTGAACGGCCTATTTATCACGTCTAATAAAGCCACAAATATGCACGAATATAATTAATATATATATATATATATATATATATATATATATATATATATATATATATATATATATATGGAATCGTCATTAATCAATCAAAATATAGGTATTTTTCCTTAAAATTATTTAGATTTTACGAACAGATGCCTGCGAATAATTAGGATTTAATAATTTTTTTGATAGAATAATTTTTTGGATAGAATAATTAAGATAATAAAGTATTGATGACGCTACAATAAGAGAACAACAATTAAATGCTAGGAATTTATATATTATCAATATTAGAAATTTTTCATCAATACTGAATTCATTCATACAATTTATACAGATGAATATCCATACTTGTTCAGCAGAACATATTTCACTGTTGCAATATTAATTCATAAAACAACGAGAAAAACGTAATATAGAAGAACATGTTCCTTTGAATTAATGCGAAATAAATAGTAAATGTCGAATTTAATTTTGACAATTATTTAATGGATGAACCAAGATACATTTCGAAAAATACATTTCGTGAATAAAATAAGAAAATCGAAAATTAATTTCCGTGGTAGATCATATCATTTTCATGACATCAGAAGTTTGCTCGCATGGTTCCTATGTGTCTCAGTGAAAATCGCATCACGTGAATACATCTGAAAAATTATTTAAATATAAATATAAAAATCGAGCGTATTTTTATAATATAATATAAGTATATAATAAAATATATGTCTGGCCCATTTCATATATATATATATATATATATATATATATATATATATATATATATATATATATATATATATATATATATATATAAATTGAGGGAAAATTGTATGACAAATTGGAAAATTTTTCGTTTGCCTCGTTCCAGCCTATAGGATTTTGTCGAACTTAATTAGTTTACGTTCGTAGAAATACACATGCACCCGGACAAGTGAAGATGAGAATTCTTCGTTATTTTCACTTTTTAATTCGCTATATTATCTAACCGATTTAATTTAGATTCTTTTTTGGTCATTCTTTTTATTCCCATCACTGTTACTATAAGATATCCTACACTGACGATAGATCTGCTAAGAATTGTGAAATGTTGAACGTGACTAGGTGCAAATTTACTGTACATGATCTAATGACCAAAGCACATTCTCACTATTTTCGTATTCGTGAATTATCTTCCACTTCGATCAGAGAAGCACATTTATATCACAGTTGTGGTCAGTCTCTTTACTCTGAGCAACTAATTGAATGTAATATGTTGTTCTGCAAAATGGTTCTTTTTTATTCATATAATTCATTTAAATTTCTTCACGTTTCCCCTGTGTAATTTTTGCAACAATTTATTAAGGCGGTAGAGTTAATTCCTTCCTCTGGTTTTAGTTCTTTTCAGTAATTTAAAAAATTACTCGCAGAAAGGACGGTTATCTATTTTGTTTCTTTGTAACCAATGTGAGAGTGACATTAACATTCAGGGATAAGCCTCTCTAGTTTTCACTTGCAAATTTCTTGAAAACTTCCAAAAGACGCTCTATAATTTAATCGATCCTAACCGGGCATCTCGACATCAGTCACTTTCAAATGGACGTGACGTAGCTTCTCTCTGTCTTTTCAACAAATATTTTCATGGCAGCTGCAATAACGACCTTTTTTCCACTGGTACTCCGACTAAAATTATTTAAGCGTGCTACTACATTGCATCAAGTTGACACATTCAATAGGTGAATGCGAACGCCACTTGTACTGAGCACTTTCTTTTCTAGAACTTCCCCCTCTGGCAATCCTTTCCTTTTACTTGCTTCCCTGATACATACGGTCTTCAATAAAATCTGCTCTAGTTTGAAACATTACGCTGATTCTAAAATAACATACATGGCAAAAATATTAAATAGATTTTATAAACAGTTGTTTGCTTTGTGTTTTATTATCTATTGTGCTGAGTCTATTTTCACTAAGACCCCAATTTCTTCCTTAATTTTCATTAAAAAATTTACTGCATTATGCCAATGAATATAACGTTATACACATTTAGTTTCTTATAATAAAATTTGATTAAACCTGTAATTTGAACATCTGGGTTTATCGTCTATGTAAAAGAGCTAACAATAATCAAGTTTTGTAGCGTTTTCTGTTTACCAGTTACAATGTTATTAACGAGGCAATTTACAATTCAAATGTTCACTGGGCTTGCAATTAGAAATTTAATTCATATTACCACCTAATATCTTTATTTCTAATACTAATAGGTGTCATAAAAGATTGCATATTTTAATGTATTCTATCAATGTTTCCTGATGAGAAAACTTGCTCTCATTCTCACTCTCCATATTCAATATAACATTTTTCTACTGGCGTTGTACATCATTGGATAGGATTTCAGTTAACAATGCATTATTGTTCATACTTTCATCGCAATATGTGTTCTGTGCACTTGCAGAAGTGTAAAATAAAAGTGATTTGCATAAAACAGACATCTTCGACAGTATAGATATCCAATTATTTACAGTAATTTTATTCAAACTATTTTCCTCAACTTTGTTGTTTTTATCCTAACGTTTCGGCCATTCTGCCCTGGGCCCTTCCTCAGTAATCTACCGTACGTATACGTGAAAATGCCTTAGTGGGTATAAGCGTTCATTTGTGAATCTGGGGAAATAGGTGTTTTGAGTTTAATCCGTTGGCCTAGTAGTGTGTACATGCACTCAGTGGAAAGAAGTGAACCATAACAGAACAGTACTCAATAGAATAAGAACTATACAATTTCGCCAGACATGAGCAGTGAAACGTTAATAGTCTACTAGCGGAGCTTAAATAAATGGTTCAATTCGGAATTCCCTGTAGGTAAACCAGATCGATATAAACCTGAGGAAGGCCGGAGTGCACAACGGCCGAATCTTTGTGATAACAAAACAAAGATATATCAAATAGTTTGAATATAAATAATGTGCATTCTGGTTACTCTCATCCTAGAAATTCAGAAAATCTTGTAGATACTCAAGTTTTTTAAAGTTTCATAATAACCAAATTTAGTGCATTTTCTTGAAAATTTACTAAATGTATGTCATTAAAATATGCTTGTATTATAATATATTTAGTATCATCCAATTAATTTCATTCGACCCTTCCATAGATCGTAACAAAGATCACAAGGATGGGAAGTTTTTGTTAGCCATGGAAATTCACATCTAGAAAGGACACGTCACATCACAGATGAATTAAAATTATCTACGAAAATAAACAAGCATTTTCTTGAGAAAATAATTTAAACCTTAGGTTTCTACTTAAAAATTAATTGTTATGACAATTTAATTTAGAAAGGTAACAAAATGAAAATTCAGTTTATGTTTTTCTTATAAAAATAAAAACAAATAAATAAATAAGCTTTCGGATTTTTTAAACTAAATAACTTGGAATCATATCATAATCTTAGGTCATAAATTCTGATGAGTAATAAAAACATTCAAGAATAGTTTCTTTTAGTCCAGAAAGTTATGATTAAATTTTATACACAGAAGTTCAGATTTAACATAATAAAAAAAACTGGCAAAATAATTGAAAATAATTTCAATAAGCAGACAAAATATTCAGTTTATATATTAAAAATTATTTTTACTTACACTAAAATTTTCATTCGTTGTCAGTACAATGTACTCTTAAGAATTATCATCCAATTATTATACTTGAACGTGTTGTTTTTCGCCATGGATACCATGTGGTTCTTCTAAAATCTCTTGTGTGCCAATACGGTGTAGTATGCCTCCACCAACGGGAAGGAGTACTTCTCCGCCATGGATACCATGTGGTTCTTCTAAAATCTCTTGTGTGCCAATACGGTGTAGTATGCCTCCACCAACGGGAAGGAGTACTTCTCCACCATGGATACCATGTGGTTCTTCTAAAATCTCTTGTGTGCCAATACGGTGTAGTATGCCTCCACCAACGGGAAGGAGTACTTCTCCACCATGGATACCATGTGGTTCTTCTAAAATCTCTTGTGTGCCAATACGGTGTAGTATGCCTCCACCAACGGGAAGGAGTACTTCTCCACCATGGATACCATGTGGTTCTTCTAAAATCTCTTGTGTGCCAATACGGTGTAGTATGCCTCCACCAACAGGGAAGGAGTACTTCTCCACCATGGATACCATGTGGTTCTTCTAAAATCTCTTGTGTGCCAATACGGTGTAGTATGCCTCCACCAACTGGAAGGAGTACTTCTCCTCCAAGGATACCATTTGGTTCTTCTAAAATCTCTTGTGTACCAGTAGGGCGTTGTGTGTCTCCACCAAGGTTCGGCAGTTCTTTCACAAGGATCAAATCTCTGAGATGTTCGTTTATTCCATGATGGTGTTTTTGTCCTCCAAGAAGACGGTGTCGTTTCCCACAAATGACCCCATCGCGGAGTTGTGTATCTCTTCCAAGAAGGTGTTGTCCACCAAAAATGATCCCATCGAGGAGATGTTGCTCTGTTCCAAGAAGTTGTTCTTCCCCACGAGTGATCCCATCGCTGATTTGTACCTCTGCTCTGCAAACTGGATAATGTTGTTACCGAAGCCTTGCCCCACCGATTAATATTTTCTTCAGATGTAATTCCGACTTCCCATGGATTTGTTGCTTTGTGTTTGAGTGTACTTGTGCTTTGAGCAAGAACACTAGTGGAAATCAAAATGTAATATACAAAGATGGACGACAGGTTCCATATCAGATAGTTTGACCACATCATGGTCGTAATCTGCGTAACAGCAGGAAAACTAGCTAGCTTTTATAAGTAGATTACATTGAAAATATCGATAAAATCGTAGTGTAAACACGTGCAATATTATTATCTTCATAGTCTGTCTAAAATGTACTAATAGATGTACTACACACACGCGCACATATATATGTGTATGTGGTGTTTTTTTATTATGTCTGTGTTTGAGACGTGTGAGTGTGTAAAATACATTTGCACAGATGAGATATTTGACAACTCATTTGCATTCAAAATGTTGGAACTGGACAGTTTTTTTTTAATATGCAAACTGTAATCTCCTTTACCAACATAACGCTAAGCATCTTTTTGACAACTGCATAATCGATTCGTTGCTCAGACTCGGAAAGACATGCTTTTCCACTTATTATACAAAATGCCGATGTCTGTATTTGTCACGTATAGAGACGTATAGCATGTTCTTTATTCATTACAAAAGAATCATCATGATAATATCCGCAATCAATAGCATCTTTCACATGCTATGCTACCAGATTGTAAGAAGGAAATTGTGAAAATCTACAACAGTTCGTATATACGAAGCAATAATTTGTTTCCCAAGACTGTAATACTTGGAATGTCGAAATGGAGATTTTTCTTCGAGATTTGCCTTTTTCGCTGTTAAACCTGGCGTAATTATCAATATTGAAATCGTTGAATTTCAAAGAAGCAATAATATTTTAATTATTTTCTAATGCGCTTGAACTTAAAACCTATTCGATACAACATGATTTTCAAAGAATTTCTACCGAATATTACTATCTCATGTAGCAAAGAATTAAATATTAATCAATGATATTCCCTTTAAATTTTAAAAATTAAAATAATGATTCTCTCAAATACTCCCTGTCGCAGACATCTTCTCGACACACAGATGCTCTATGGTTTATTCTACAACTATATGAGTTACAATTTCTTGGAGATGTCGTATACTATGTTATGAACAATAGTTTGAATAAAGCTGGGACACTCAAAACTTTCGCTAGAGTGACAGTATTCTTCGTGTAAGCGTAATCATCTAAGTATTCTGAAGAGTTCCAGATACATAATTTCATTCAAAGTCTATTTGGCACAAATTTCCAAAGATCTCTCCTCAGGCAGTTAACGTCAAGAATTCACCTTCCTGTTTAATCAACCATTAACAGATACGAACTCGACCAGAAAAAAAATTCCCATTACACAATATATATATATATATATATATATATATATATATATATATATATATATATATATATATATATACTTGATGATTAGTAGGAATAATTCTAAGGAGTGTATAAATCCAAAGAGAGCTCAATGTAAGAACTGATCAATATAATAATGAATACAGAATCCTTAAAACTCCATCAGGTCAGGTTTTTACTAGGATGGACTTTCGACATACATCTCTGCAGACCAGTTTTTTACAAAAAATGAAAAAAATAATAATATATTATTGCCTTCTGTCTTCATTATATCGTTTTACTCGTTCGTATCCATGTATGGATTCTTTTAATTTTGACATTATATATTCTTATAAATGCTATATTAAATTGAACATGTGGCAGATTTAATATCGCATATATATTTTTTAATTCTTAGACAGTGTAATTACTGTACAAATAATACAAATAATCTTCATAGTAACAAGAAATAAGCCTGGATATTACAAATGTTTGTTTACATTTCGAACAAGCAAATAAGCAAAATATAAAAAATGATAGCAGATATTGATTCCAAATGTTCGAACAGGATCTGTGCTTTCATTATTTAGGTAATTATGCATTGTTTTATGAAAAGCTCTAGTTGTTTCGGATATAGTTAGTAGTTTTTTTTAGTAAGACTTCTTGGTCTAGACAGGTTGACTTTAATTTTACTGTATTATTTATTGATAAAAATAGCGATATCATCTCAGACACACGTAGGTTCTAAAAATAACATTCATAGGAATAGAAACTCTATATTTTCAGCTCGTCGTTAGTGGAAGTTTTAACGTGAAATATCTGAAGACAATTTATTCCACCACGCCAAGTAAAATTGATTAATAATTCAATGGGTTAAATAGGAAATGTTTTGTTATTTCCGCTGATTACATTCGCTAAGCAAATACAGAAAAATCATATTCCTTTTTTCATCATCATTTACTATTCATTTTTTTGTTTTTTTTTCTTGTGTTTCTCGATTTACTTCTAGATTCTTTGTATTTTAAACAATAAAGAAGTAAGAAAAAGTCTGTCAAATCAAAATGCTCATCTCATTCTGTCGACATGGAAAATATTTACCAAAACCCCTTTTTTGAGATATTCTTGTGATGTTTGAGCATTTTGTTCGAAGACATTTTCTATACACTTTGCTATAGTTAAATAATGACTTTTCCTCATCAGCAATATTCAAATTTCCAATATTCATTGCAATTTTATATTTCTTAAATTTAACTTATTTATACTATGTTATAATTTCTGTCATTAAATTTAATCAAATGATTTATTTTACTTTTCTCCCCAAGAAATTGCCCTTTTTTTAATTGGATTTTTGGAAGTTCATTTCTCCATCTTTTACTGTTCAAAATAAAAACCTCTAGACATTCTTATGGTGAAAGTGATTTCTTTTATTAGGGACACGGGGAAATATTTAAAATTTTGGTCCCACATATGAGGCAAAGGTGCCTTTCCCAAATTGCGCATAGCCCGTACGTGTACACCAGATTTAAAAAACACAAGATTTTTGCAGGGAGTCTCCCGGTGCCTCTCCTAACCTCACTTTACAATGCGTTAAAACTTACATAACCAATTAACGTTGTCGGTAATGTACTGAATGGATGGGTGACGTTAGATTTAGGAACAGGAAGCCCAGGACAATGTGTGGGGTACTTACTCCTGCAAATTCCCTCCCGAAATGTGAATAACTATATTGTTTTTGCATTCAGATTTAAAAATTTCCATGATAGCCAGCCTCAATGCTTCGTTGTAAGTCTGCCTGACTGCTTTGTGACTTCTTGTCATTCAAGTGTGGATATCGCCGTAATCCAGTAAACTCACTTAGCAATGCTTGTGTGCTGACTAACTACTTTGTCCTCTATTCAGAATATGGCAACCAAATGGCCAGAGGTGTTTCTCTGCGTATTAAGCGTACCCTGGATGCGAGGGTGGACCTTGTCCATGTCAATGCCGTGGACCGGTTTATCGTGGCCGATATTGCGGTGCGAAGTGGTTCGTTTCGGATCGTTGTTGTTTATGCGCGTAACGACCTGTAGGGGCCGTTTCTCGTGGATTCAACGCGCTTAATGGGGCACTGGAATTTCGTCCTGGACTCCAAGTTAGACAGAGTGCAGGGAGCTAGCTCGAGGTCGAGAGATCAAGCTTGGCTGATCTGATCGGCGAGTTTGGTCTTGTTGATAGATACCGGGTCGATCAACCAAAGCGGGAGATTTGGGCGTGTTCACTTAAGTGGCCATCTACCCACGTGGCTAGCCACCTGAACAGAATGTTAGTCAGAAAGACCGAAATAGATGTACTATACCTTTTCAACTTAAAAATGATAATAACCAACTTTAAAATGGAATTATTTTCAGGTAAAATAAAATAATCAACTCCGAAATGGATTAATCAAATTCAGAATGGATTAATCAACTTAAAAATAGATTAATCAACTTCAAAATAGATTATCCAACTTCAAATTGGAAAACAACTTCAAAATGAGAAATAATCATCTTCAAATTTGATTAATCAACTTCAAATTGAGAATTGATATAATACTAATAAATTTAATATGTATTCTTTTATTTTTACTTAAAAGGGATATAAAAAAATACAAACGTTCCTAAGAAATTTATTTAAAAAATTACTTAATCTAAGTTAATTACAGAGGGAAGTAATCTCTATATTCCAGATACAAATTTAGTGGAAATCTCAGGGGAAATATTATTAATTGCCTCGGAAATCATCTCTTCTAACTTGCAGAGACGGAATTCTTTAGTAGCTAAAGATCCCTGGCCATCACCTGTTAAAATCCCAACAATTGAGTCTGCCATACTTCTTTTTACGTCAGCTTTAATGACTGACCAAACCTTTTCAGTTAGATTTAACATCGGACTATATCGGACAAGTCTGAAAATTTGGTGTTGCCTATATTCATCCTCCTCCACAACTTCTTCAATTCAAGTATGGCAAGGAGCGTTATCAATAACTAAGACAACTCCCCTTTCATAAATTTCATTTGACTTTCTAAGGCAATCTCTGGTTCATTCTTTCGCATCCTCTTTTTTGAAAGAACCTCTTTTAATTTTATGATGAAGTAATCCATTATTACGAATTCATCCAATAACATGGATGTTATTTCCCCTACATCCGGCCGCGACTGAAGCTTTTTTAGAACGACCTTCCCTTCTTGAAATATGGAGATTAAAATTGGTTTCAT